CTGCAGGTGCGGCCCCCGTGCAGTTCCGGGGGGCTGGGGTCTTCTGAGGAGGCCCCTCCCGTAGTTGGCACCCAGCCCAGCCCTGCGACTAGCAGGCCGCGCACCTACCTGGTCTCGCTCCTTACGGACACCTTGTTACTCAAAAACTCGGTCCTTACAGCTCTGACCTTTTATGTTGTTTTAAGCGGCCCGTGGCCTTAAAGTTGTGGAGTATTAGAAGGCCTTAAAAAGGATGGCAGAGGGTCAGATTTTTAATACAGGAATGTTAGACCCACATACACAGGCATCCGTTTATCTCATGATTTTGTTGAAAGATGATTCTAGCTTGTACTAAAAAACAAACAAACTAACTAATTAGAGATAATGTTACCACGTTTGGTGTTTGAAGGAATCTTAAAGAAGGTAGGCCCAGCAGTCTTGTCTTTGCCTCTTGAGAAAATATTCCTGGGCACTGCTTGGGGGCGGGGCTCAGAGGGAACCGGACCAACACCTGAATTGAATTTTAGCTAGTGACTCTGATGAAACAAAATTCTGAGCTCTTACTTTAGGCCAGGGACTTAGCTCAGTGGTCGCACCTGCCTTGCAAGTGCAAGGTCCTGAATTCAATCCCCGGTACCAAAAAAACTAAAGAACCAACTTTAATGTTTACCCTGGTAGAGCAAGTGCTTAGCATGACTGCTGAGACCCTGGGTTTGGTCCCCAGGAAGGAGCGGCAGCTGTGTCTGTGTTTGGGGGTGTTAAACCAAACTGAGCTCCTAAGGTGGTTAAAGAACACTTCTGATAATTGAAGAAACAGAATAATTCCACAAGAAATAGAAAAAGAAATTATGGCTCTTTTTAAGAAAGGTTTTTGTTTTGTCTTTTGCCTTAGATAAATTTGTATGAATTGTCCTTTATTATCACTTTCCCATATTAAGGTGACTGACTGTATCAAACCTGAGTGCTCACTTCTGATCAGAAATCTAAAAAGAGTTTTAGGATTTTTGTTTGGCTTGATGAATGCCTTCTTTTTTAAAAATAAATTAGACCTAGACTTTGAATCACCAAGAGAAGTGAAGTACAGTATCTCGATGTTTGGGCTCAGTGGTAGAGAACTCTTGCCTAGCAAGTATGAGGCCCCTAGGTTCCATCTCCATGCTGGGGGAAAAAATCAGTGTTTGTTGGCATGATACACATTTTCTTTTCCTTTTTTTTTTCCATTGAGTTCATTGGTACTTTTTAGGTATACAGTACAATTACATTCATCATTGGGATGTTGTACCTTTATAGGACAGATCTTGGTTCTTGTTTTTTTCCCCATACCCCTGCCCTCCCTTCAACTCCTCCACCCTTCCCTATTTACAAAGACTTGGTTTCCATTTTTTCCTTTTCTCATATTTTTCCTTTTCCCTTTTTTCCTTTACCCTACCCTTCCCACTTCCCCTACACCTTTAGCCCTTTCCTTCCTATTTCACGTACTCGTTTATAAATTTGAATCTTACTTACACTTTGTTTTTCACACCAGAGAAACTATTTGGTACTTACACATGTGTGTCCTATTTATTGTACTTAAGAGTATGTCCTCAATATGCATCCATTTTTCTATAAATGACTCTGGTTTCTCATTCTTTTTGTTTTATTTTGCTTTTTTGGTACCAGGAATTGAACTCAGGTCCTTGTGCTTGCGAGGCAGGCGTCGGAACCACTGAGCTAAATCCCCGGCCCTAGTTTCTCATTCTTTATGGCTGAGTAGTACTCCATTTTATAGAAAAAACACATCTTTTTCCAGTCTCATATTTTTTCTTTTCCCTTCTTTCCTTTCCCCTACCCTTCCCACTTCCCCTACACTGTCATATAAGGGAACATGAGACACTATGAGCTGTACAAGAACCATGAGAAAAGCTAAAATGAAGTAAAACAAATTTCTTCAGCTTCCCCAAGTGAAAAATAAGCAAACAAATTCAGTAAAATTTTAAGTAATTTCAAAAATATTGAAAGTTTTGACTTTGAACTTAGAAATGCCCAAGACATTACTGCTGAATTCTTAAGAGTAAAATAGCTGTTTTCTTGAATTGTTTCGCAAAACAGAATACAATATTCAACACAACCAGAGATGAATTCAAGCTAGTCTTGTCAAGCACAAGGACCTGAGTGCAATCGCCGGTACCAAAAAAAAAACTAGTCTTGTCAACACTAATGCAAATATATGGAAAGCTATAATTAAAAATAAGGGAGCATGAGACACTATGAGCTGTACAAGAACCATGTATTAAACATGTCAATTACATCCAGAATGAGCTACGACCCTTCACTAAGAGTAAATTTCATTTAACTGTGGCTTTAGAGATGACAATTTGTATAAACATTTTAATTTCAAGAGTAATAATACATGGCAACTTTCCAACAGGAAAGAAAATCTTAACATGCTTGTAACACTTAAAATTCATCATAGATTTTTTCCATCATAAATTATTAAATAAAAATTACTAACTGTGTTTGTTTGTTTGGTGGGGGAAGACAGAGTCTTGCTAAGTAGTCCAGGCTGGCCTTGGACTCACTATGTAGCCCAGGATGACCTCAGACTTACAGCAATCCTCCCGCCTCAGCCTCCTGAGTGCTGGGATTATGGTTGTATGCCACCACGCCCAGCTCTAATAGCTTTTTGTAGTCATATCCTGGGTTATGGTGAGCTATTTACCATTGGACATGTCTGGTGTCAAAGTCAAAAAGGAAGGTACTGGCCTGGTAGTATATTTGGGGGATCCTGATATTTTTGAGTTCTTTATATATTCTAGATAATAGTCCTTTGAGGAGCAGCTGGTAAAATTTTTTTCCCACATTATAGTTTGTCTCTTAGCTCTGTTGGTGGTTTTTCTTGCAGTGCAGAAGCTTTTTAATAAGATGAAATCCCAGTTGTTGATTCTTTGTGCTAGCTCCCGTGCCATTAAGGATTTATTCATAAAGTCTTTTCCTATGCCAATGTCTTCGAGAGTTCTACCTGACTTATCTTCGAGCAAGTTTACTGTTTGTTTTAATATTTAGATCTTTAATCCCCTTGGATTTTAGTTTGGTGCGTTGTGAAAGATAAGGGTCATGGTACACATTTTCTTAGGGAAAATCTCCCAGTAGGACTGAACAGACCTCACGTCAAAACTTTCAATATATTTGAAATTACTTAAAATTTTACTGGATTTGTTTGCTTAGTTTTCACTTGGGGAAGCTGAGGAAATTTGTTTTATTTCATTTTAGCTTTTCTCAGCTCCTTTGCTGAGATTGACATTTTTTATCATTTAAATTCATCCTGTTTAGCAAAGTTTGGACCTTACTGTTAAAAATTTAACTGCTTTGGAAAAGGTGAGAAGAAGGGAGGTTAAATTGTTTGAACACAGACAATGAGTGTGGAAGGAATCCAGGATGTTGTAGGGTGTAGATGAAGTCTGGGAATTGTCACCGTCATTTTCTGATGTCCTTTGACCGTGCCTCTGCATTCTTGTAGATCGGTTGCTTCAAAGATTGATTTCTTATTCAGAAGCACTCCAGATCTGCTAATTTTGAGAAAAACTGAAGGATAGATGATCTGAAAATAAAGTTGTTGGGTAGGAAAAATGCATTCAGGGTAGCACTTTTTGGTTTACCTTCACTTTCTCTGTGGAATACTGTGTTCTGTCTACTTCCTCTGTTCCCCCCCATTAAGTTTATCAGTACATTTAAAGCAAACAATACAGTTATATTTATCATTGGGATCTTGTACCTTTACATGGTATATCTTGGTTCTTTTTTTTTTTTCTGAACCGGGGATTGGACTCGGGACCTTTTGCTTGCAAGGCAGGCGGTAGAACCAGTGAGCTAAATCCCGGACCCTTCCTCTGTTATTTTCAAAGCTTGTAGTCCATCTGAGATTTAGAGATAGCAACTCTACAGAATTTGAGAAAAAGCTAGTAATGAAAGGCTGTTTATTATTAAATCGTAGTCACTGCCCATATTTAGTATCTCTTAAGTGCTTCTCTCACTTTAGCACTTTGGTTTACATTTTGCCAGAACAGCAGGACATGTGATACTATTTGTCAGCTCATACTTTAACATTGACACCCCCCCCATACACACACATCAGGGATTGAACTCAGAACCTTGCGCTTGCTTGTGTGGAACCACTAAACTAAATCCCAGGCTATACTGATGTGTTTAAAAGAAATCATGTTGATAACTTAATTAGAAAATAGAAGGTAACAAAATAAAGTTATTAATTTCTAGCTAAATATTATTGACTACATAGGGCTCTAAGCTTTTTTTGTTTTGTTTTTTGTTTTTTTTGGCTCTGTTAAGCATTTTTGACAGGCCAGATAATAATTGTTACTTGAAAATAAGCACCAAGCTGAGAATTTGCCGTGGTTCTTACCAGAAGAATTGAAAAAATTAAGGTCTTATAAGTGTTATCCATCAAATAGTACTAGATGTATGCCCCTCTGCAGTATAGTACTCTATGCCTTGGCAAATGTACTTTACAAAATATAGAGACTCTTTGACCCATATACTGTGTATTTTTAATATTATTTACTTACCGTAATGATCTTTGAACTTCCACAACTAACTTTATTTTTCCTCCTAACAGATGCGGCATTCTAAACGAACTCACTGCCCTGATTGGGATAGCAGGGAAAGTTGGGGACATGATAACTACTGTGGAAGTCACAAACGGAAGAGGAGATCTCACAGTAGTACACAGGAGAACAGGCATTGTAAACCACATCACCAGTTTAAAGAATCTGATTGGTAAATTATTCTTGAACTTAGTAGCATTTTAGTTAAACTAGTTTTAACAGTTTATCATTTCATTAATAGCTTTCATGTGTCAGATTATTTTACATTTCAGTCAACATTCATTCGAAAACACTAATTAGGTGATATTATAGGCCAAAGCTCTAGCGGTGAATAAAACAAAGTTCTTATTTTCATATAGCTAAGTCTGTCAGGGTGTGGGAGAGATAGCTGATCAGTAAGCAAATGAAAAATGAATTTGGGGGTAGGGGCACTAAGTGGTAGAGCACTTGCCTAGCATGTGTAAAGCTTTGCTTCCATCTCCAGCACCGGTTATTGAGCTCTGGCTGCTAATAACGTAGCTGGGAAGATAAAACACACACACACAAAAATACTGAATGGTTATAATAGAATGTCCTATGACTATATTTAATTTGTACATAGGAGGAGATATGTATGTTATTGGAGTGGGGACTTAATTCCGATGAAAAAAGCAGCATGTACTATTTGGGAATGTTAAAGTGTATTGGGGATTAGTACTTACATTTATGTTTTACAGATTATATTTATAGAGTAGGACCAATGGATATATTGGATTTTTTAGAAGCTTTATTCTGTAAGCTCTTTCTTTACAAAGGTAGTTACTTTGTATTACTAGTTATTTAGGAAAGAGCTTCAATAAAAATTTACAGTTGCATGTGTCCTGTTGTATTATATTCTTACTGGTATAAAATTTGGAGGTAATACTAGAAAACACGAGAGGATAGGTAAGTAGTGTGTCATTCATTTTGTCTTCCATTAGTTTTCTTTTCTCATTTCATTTGGTTGGTTCTGTTATTTACTCCTTGTTTGTACAAATGTCCCATTGGGACTGTTAATCACAATACTTCAAAATTAGCTAGCTGGTTACTATAAATAACAGTACGTAGGCAGGGGATTTAGCTCAGTGGTTCTGCTGCCTGCTCTGCAAGTGCAAGGACCAGAGTTTGATCCTGGTACAAAAAACAAACAAAAAACAGTATGTAACTTTTTTCCCTTCTTCATGCTAAAACAGACTTGTTCTTCTAAATAGTGAGGTTGTTTGTTTGTTTGTTTGGTGGGGGAAGACAGAGTCTTGCTAAGTAGTCCAGGCTGGCCTTGGACTCACTGTGTAGCCCAGGATGACCTCAAACTTACAGCAATCCTCCCGCCTCAGCCTCCTAAGTGCTGCGATTATGGCTGTATGCCACCACGCCCAGCTTAATAGCTTTTTGTAGTCAGTGCAGACTAGTCCAGTGTCAATCAAACATCCCATAAGGGGAAGGTTATAGCAGGATTTTAAGAACAGAGCTAATAAAAAAAACAACAAACAGCTAATTAATGTACACTATAAAAATAACATTTGTATTCTAATTTTAATAAGCACAAAATGCTCCAAAGCTTGACATCATAGTAGTCATTATTCATAAGTTTACTATACATTGTATATGTATCAAGGAAGTGATTTGAGTGAATAGTTTGTTATATTCAACTTTACTGCATAAAAATACAATCTGAGTTAGTCTAGTTAACTACCAGGCCAGTACCTTCCTTTTTGACTTTGACACCAGACATGTCCAATGGTAAATTGCTCACCATAACCCAGGATACTTAATAGTTTTTTTTCAAAGATTAAAAACTATGAGGATAGTTTTTATAAAATAGTAGAAAATTGAAAATGCAGAAAAGTTTAAGAAAGTACCCTTGGGAGGATACTAGTGCTCCATTATGTGGATGTAAATTATTTCTGATTTGTTTTTAAAAATACCTTTGTAGGGCTGGGGATTTAATGCAGCAGCACAGCACCTGCCTCACAAGCACAAGGTCTTAAGTTTGACCCCTGGTATGAAAAAAAAAACCTTTGTATACAAGTTTTTGCCTCTGATTATTTCCTGAAAACAGACTTCAAGAGGCATTTTCAAATTAAAGTGTGTAAACTGCTAAAAGACTTTACTGTGCATTTACATTATACCAGATTCTGTTTCTGTAATATACTTTTTTATGCACTGATTGCTCAAAATTCATAGTACTTTGTTTTAGTTTGAACTTTAAAATTTCTAGGTATTTTGTTCACTGTCATATATTTATGAACCATTTGAACTTAAAAATCTTAATTTTTTCTATTAAAGTATATATATTTTTACTTAGATAAAAGCTTTGCATTGTGTGTTATTTTAACCCATTGTCACATATGTTGCAGAATATTGTTTCTGAGTAATCTTTGGCATAGTTTATGAATTGGTCACACAGGCTTAATGTGTTCTGGACACTATATTGTAATGAGTGGCTGTAAAAGCCACCTTTATATATTAAGGTCAGAATTCTTACAAAATACCAGTCTTTTTTGTTTTTAATACTGGGGATCAAACTCGGATCCTTGTGCTTCCTAGGCAGGTGGCAGAACCACTGAGCTAAATCCCTGGCCCCCAAAATATCTAGCCTTAAAACTATTGACTCTCTAACTTTATCATGAATAGTATGTTTAAAATGCAGATTATCACATTTAGATTTAGTAAGCATGACATGGTCCCAGGAATGTCATTTTAAGTAAGAACTCCATATTTGATTGATTGATTGGTACTGGGGATCAAATTGATGTTTTTATTAAATTGACCATCTTTTAAGAAACACTCCCTACCCTTATCTCTTCTCAGCTAGAGAATAGGTCTGTCTGTAATCCCCTGGGTGACAGTTGCTCTTCTTGGAATTGTCTGCTTTTTCTTAAGTACACAAATCCATTAAGCCTTTGTGGCTTAAAGTCCTATAAAAATATACAATAGTAATGTGTCATTGTTCTCCCTTGGAATTTTTTATTTTTCACTTTGCACAATCTGGCTTCCCTTTAAGATACAACTCTTTATTTCTGGTCTTTTTTGTGAATTCTTTCCTGACCATTATAAACATTGATTTTATTCTTTTCTCTGACTCTAAGCGCTCATATGCACCTTTTCAGCATTTCTTGCATTGTTGAATTTTATTTTTATGGGAATACGGTAATCTCACATTGTTCATTATTTGTTGGTGGGGACTTTGCCTTATATAATTTTTTTTAAGTCCCACAGGACCCGTGTGGAAATAAAAATGAATGTCTATATCCTCATTAGTTTTGACCATTTTAAAGGTTGGGCCTTCAATGAATGAATGAATGAATTTATTTATTTATTTAAAAAATTTTTTGAGACAGGATCTTGCTTTATAGATCAGGCTGGCCCCAAACTCGCTGTCTAGTCCTGGCTGGCCTCAAACTCAAATGATCCTTCTGCCTCAGCCTTCCGAGTGCTGACAATGAATATTTTAAAAAATTAAATCAGTCTGTTCATTCTGTCTACCTTGTTCATAGCCTGTTTATATTATCTCTAAGCTTTGATCATTGGTCATTATAGATTGAAAGGTCCTCATCTTTTTAGTGTGCTCATAGTATTGCATCACCTTGTGTTTTTTTTAATTCTATAAATTGCTTTTGGATGAAGAGCAGCTCCAATTTCATATGGTATTCTAACTAAAGATTATTAGTGTTTTTTCTGATTTTTGGACTTTCATGGAAGGGATTTCTTAAATAATTAAACAGGATCCCCTTGACTGATAATTTCTATTTGTGGAGATCTCTGACTTAGACCCTAGATCAGCTAACCTAAACCCATAGACTTAACCCTAAATATAGTTATCCAGGGGCTAGAACTTAGACTGACACACTGGGAGATGGAAAGGGTGCTTGCATCTCCAGCCTGAATTAGATGACTGCTTTGTTGATGGTAGTTTTAAGGAATGTTTCTCTTTTGTTTCTGCCTCAAGCAGCACCCTGGGGAAAACAAAGACAACATAACTCTGGGGAATGTAAAAGGGTTGGTTAGGGCAATGTAGGCAACATCTGTCACTCCATTGCTTGTCAGGATTATTTTAGCCGATTTGTCTGACTGGGCAGGTGTCCCCTCTCTCCCTCAGTGCTCCATGTGCATCCCTCTTGAAGCTTCGCACTCTGTTGAAGAGGACACTCATCCCAGGTAGAGAGGGGGACGGGAAGCTGGGCCAATTGAATCTGTCCTTTTTTTTCCACTATCAGATCAAGGCTGTTTAATTGGGATCCATTGACTTCCTAAGGTCAATAAACTCTATCTGTGAAATTACTTGCTAAGTTTTGTTTATGCATTTATGTGTGTTTCCTTGAGGAAAAGGGTCCATAGCTTTCATTCGATTCTGGAGGGATCTGTGGATCCAAGTGCAGTGACACTTAGATAAAGCTGTTTTCTGTTGTGTTCGTGTATTTCTCAAGCAGGATTAACAGGAAATTAGAAATACAAAGGAAAGTTGGGTGGTGGGACTTTTGTCATCCTAGGTAAGCAGTTACAGCATCTCTTTCTCATTTGCAAGGAATATATTTTAGATGTCTTCAGCACACTACATACCCCTCCAAAGCTATGTTTTCTTTTCAAGCAAGAGTAACAGAAGGCTAGACTTAGGGAAGAGGTGATATATAGAGGAAGTAATGTAATAGGTTTGAAAATGTCTCATTTTTTGTCAAGAATGTGCTTTATAACCATGGTGTATCAGTGATCTTCATGCACTTACCAGTAAAAGGGCTGGAATGGATTTAAGGCTCTTTCTATCTCGAATTCACTTTTCATGGAAGAATTTTCTGTGTGCTGAGATATCTAAAATGCATTTATATTAAAAGAGAAAGGAATCCTGTTTTGCCTGCCTCTGATTGTAAATGGCTCTACCAAAAAGGAAAGGACTGATGAATTTCAAAAGAGCAGTTTTGTGAATTTTTGCTTTTAGCTTTGTCCAGAAGGTAGAAGAGCACTTAAGCAAACACTAAACATAATTTGACTCAAGCTTTGTTCCTTGATATGAAGTGCTTGACTGCAGTTTTATAATGGAAAAATAATGGACCCATTTGCTTGTTGGTTAAAGTTGTTTTGTGAGATACATATAAATTTTAACTCACCAACTTGAATTTTTTTCTGTTATTGAGTTAGCTGTTTAAACCAATAAATCTTGAGTGTTTTATTTGAACCTCATTATTCCACAGTGAAGAGGATAATTTGAACTCCTTTAATGTGTTTGCAGTCATTATTTAGAAGCAAGGTCCTTGAATGAGAGAGATTATCGGGACCGGAGATATGTTGATGAATACAGAAATGACTACTGCGAAGGATACGTTCCTAGACATTATCACAGAGACATTGACAGTGCTTATCGGATCCACTGCAGTAAATCCTCAGTCCAGAGCAGGAGAAGCAGTCCTAAAAGGAAGCATAATAGACACTGTTCAAGCCATCAGTCACATTCGGTATGATTGATTTTGTTTTTAATTTGAGTGAATTCTTATTTGTGTGTAAAAGCTCTTAAGGAGCTGTTAAGTTTCTAGAAGTTTCTTGTTTATGTAATGCTATTTGGAAGTATAGTACTTTAATCCTTAGAGGAAATTTCCACATTCTTAGAGCTGATCTGTGTATTTAATAGTTAGCTTTCACTTGCCCTTGTTGATTCAAATTTTGCAGACCAGGTCATGAGTTTGTTGGTTATAATAAAAATATTATTTTGTGTTCATATATTTGTATGAAAAAAATTAAACACTCATCTTTTCTTTCAACTTAAACTTTTTTTACTTTGAAAGAAATCTTTCCTGATTCTTAGCAACAAATATGGAAGGTTGCACTTAAATGTTAATCTAGGTATACCATAGTTTCACAGTACACTGCATCACTGTGAACAGTTAATTCTGTTGAAATTGTAAAAATGGCTCCTAAATATGAAATGTATTAAAGGTAGCCTTTTTAAAAACCACTCAGACATTTTCATTTGTTTAATGTGTACGCTGGGAATTATTATTTTCTTCCCCAAGTTTTCTTCAGTAAAACTAGCTGTTAATAGATTAAACATTGAAATTAACTAGCCTTTATTTTTCCTTTTTATTTCATTTGTGTATTTAAAAATAATGCTAAATATGAACAATTTCAACTCATCTTGACATTTTAAAACAATTTTTCTGACAAACTAGACATCTCAACTCACAGCATATGCTAGTCATAGCTAGAGTTAAGTAAGTAAATCATGACATTGCATTCTTTAAATTTCAGACTTCAATTAAATCAGTATTTTAAAGAGACAATTGTGTTGTTTTTTTCTATTGCCACTTTAAGTATCTTATCTGAAAATCTGTTCCTTGCCATGTTTTTCTTCTGTAACATAAACTGTGCCCTGTGAATTTCTGGGGACTGAATTTGAAATTGCTCCTGCCAACTGTTCGTGGCCTGGTGCTTATCTGAATGCCTGAATATCTCCCCGCTGAATGAATTGCGTATTCTGCCCTGAATTCACTCTGATATATTGATTGGCTGGACGATCTTGGTGCTGCCCACTTGCCGTTCCAGAAGAGCCACCGAAGGAAAAGATCCAGGAGTATAGAGGATGATGAGGAGGGTCACCTGATCTGTCAAAGTGGAGACGTTCTAAGAGCAAGATGTATAGAATATTTTTCAACACTTTTTAAACTTTGCAGACAGAATAATCTTTTTAAGAATAGTTTGTCAGCGGGGGGCTAAAGAACTCTTCATTGCTTTTTTGTTTTGTTTTTTGTGGGTTTGTTTGTTCTTTTGTATTTCTTCTTTTCTGTAGAATTTAAATATTTCTAAAGTTCCAAATTAATCAGTGGAATTTGAAATTAGAGCAAGAATGATAGCTCTATCTAATTGTTTTTGTAGCAGCTGAAAATAAAATAATTTGAGTGCTGAAACCTTAGTTATGCTTTAATAGAGATCATTTGAAAATATTCCACACTTAAGCATTCATTGTTTGAATAACTAAATAATCTGTACTCGGGTACTTATACTTCCTTTTCTCTCCCTCGCTTTAGATGAAATCGTGGACACTTTGGGTGAAGGGGCGTTTGGCAAAGTTGTAGAGTGCATTGATCATGGCATGTGAGTTCTTTTTCTTTTTTGAATATTCTAAGATTTTTGATGGAGAATAATTTAGATGATATATTTTAAGTGATCATTACATGTTTTCTTGATGTTCAAGGAAATTTCTTAAGATACAATTTATTGGGAAGCTGAGGCAGGAGGATCACTGTAAGTTCGAGACCATCCTAGGCTACATAGTGAGTTCTTGGTCAGGCTCAACTACATAGTGAGACCCTGTCTCAAAAAAACAACAAAAAAATTATTTACCGTGACTGTGAATTGGTTTTGTTTTTTGCTTTTGTGGCTTTAGTGAGGTGTTTTGAGACAAGGTCTTGCTGTATAGTTCAGGTGGCCTTGATTTCACTGTGTAACTAGCTGGCCTCGAATTCATGGTAATCCTCCTGCCCCAGTCTCCTGAGTTCTGGGATTATAGGCATGTGCCACCATACCCTGCTTTGAGTGTAGATTTTGGTTAGAATGTATTAGATGGAGTTTATTGAAATTAAAAGTGGATTTTCAAGTGAAAAATTGTTTTCCCAGAGTTAAGGCCCATGGCCTTCTGTATGAAATGCATTGCATTGACAGTAAAGCATTTCTAAACTTGTATATTAGAGTTAGTGTTCTTTTCCTTTTCGCTGTTCTTTTTTTGAGACAGGGTCTTGCTGTGTTGCTCAGGTTGACCTTGAACCCGCTGTAACCCAAGCTGGCCTGCAGTGCATTATGCAGCCCATCCTGGCTATATATTCAGGCCTATAAAATAGAAGTCTAAAATCTTTTTCTTCTTTCTTTTTTCAGTGGTATTAGGGATTGAACCCGGGGTTGCATACTGCTTACAAGGTAGACAAGTGCTCTACAGCTGAGCTGAGCCTCCCTGTCTGCTGTGCTGCCCCCTCCTCCCCGTTTAAGGCAGGATCTCACTTAATTGCCTAGGCTGGCCTTGAACTTAAGATCTTTTTGCCTCAGCCTTTGAATAGCCACTCTGGTAATTTCCAGCTTGTTGTAAACTTGAATTTTTAAAGAAAACTTACCCTTGCTTTGTATTTGAGGGAATCTAGGTGGGAATCACTTTATCTCAATTTAAACTTCCTCAGTCTGGGTTTTTAATGATAACACATAAGTTAATAGGCATTACTATTACCAGCTGCTTGGGGTTATATGCTCAGGTCCTTTTGCTTGCCACTGATCAAACCAAAAGATGCCATTTATTCGGTGAAAAGGAAAAAGGCTTTTTTCAAGGCGCACTCCAGGGAGATTAAAGGGCCTCTCCTGCCTCAAACCATCTCTGTGTCCAAAGTGCAAAGGTCTTTTACAGTAAGGAACAGAAAGGAGAAGGGGATACAATGAGACAGAGTTTCATTTTTGCCCTGCTGGTTCCAGAATTAGGACGTATGCTTGGTAATTTAAAATATTTCTTATTAAAGAGCCATACTATAATACTTTCAGCACAAAGTCTTTTCTTAGTAATTCTTAATATATAACTGAGTATCACAGCAGTACAGAGGAAAGAAGTAAGCATGACACCATGGAACCACTTGTCTCTGGCAAGGAGCAGTGGTCTTCCAGGTGGAAAATCTAGGTGTGTGTCACACAGGGTACTATTCACGTGCAGCTGGAGGTGGGCACAAGGTAAGACTGACAATAGGAGTATGGATCAAGAAGTGCAGTTCACGGCCGGGGATTTAGCTCAGTGGTTCCGCCACCTGCCTTGCAAGCGCAAGGACCCAAGTTCCATCCCCAGTACGAGAAAAAAAAAAAGAACTGCAGTTCAGATGAGGACTCAGCTGAAAAGAGCTCAGTGGAAGATCTGACATAAGAAAAGTGATTTGTAAACCCAGAGTGCAGCTCAGCTGCCGCCGAGATCAGGTGAATATAATGGGAGCCCTTCCTTGAGGTGGCAGTCTAACCACCTGCTGGTTTAAGGTTCCACTAATACCTACCAGAAGAGTCAAAAGAGCAAGGATGTCCATAATTGTATCATTTTAATTCAGGCACATAAATTAGAATTATGTATGTCCTTTATTGTTCTTTTAGACCCAGAGTCATGGAGGGGGGATAATGGGAAATGCTTCACTTTTTCAAAACATACATACATGAGCTTGGGATAGAAATAATTTGTTTTATCCTACTGAAGCTGAGAAATTGCATCAGGCCCTTTTCTTTTTGGGGAGGTGGCATTGGGGATTGAACTGAGGACCTTGTGTTTTTGACGCAGACGTCTGCACCACTGAGCTAAATTTTAGCCCTGGCCCTATAGGCCCTTTTCTGTTTTGTTTTGTTTTGTTTTTGCAGTACCAGGGATCGAACTCAGGACTTTGTACTTATAAGATAGGCGCAGTGCCACTGAGCTGAATCCCCAGCCCCAAGCCCTTTTCTTGGTAAATGATATCCCTGTTCTAGCTCAAATTTTCAAAAAGCATTTTTAACATTTTCATTTACCTAACTCAAAATTACTCATCTAAGGTATTCATTACATCTACCTACTTACACAAAATTTAAAATATTTAACAATACATTGCTTCTAGTGTTTTAATCATTGTGCTAGGTTAGATATATAGTTGAGTCCTAATTTATATTTCCCATCAAAGAATTCAAAGTACAGTGGACTTCTCCTTTTTTTCCTATTCTCTGTTTAGATCTGTAGTAATAAGTATGTTATACATGTAAGTGATCATGAAAGGTTTCTAACTTCTTACCGTAACCATCAATATTTCCTCATTATGGCTCTTCTGATGATAATTTTCATAGTTGTAATACCATATTATTTCTGTAACTATCCATCCTGAGAACCTTCCTTGTCCTCCTTGGCTAAATCCTGAAGCCCAAATCCAACCTGCAAAGCCTTGAAGGAATCTTAATGTCATAACTACTTCATCCTTATCATCATTCAGGAACACACTTGATTACATACTTAGCAGTGTTTTATCCTTGGGCTGAGCGTGTAGCTCAGGAGTTGAATGTGCCTAGGATATTCAAGGTCCCAGGTACCACTAAAAAAAGAAACTTTTTATCCTTGAACTTATTTTCATTCTGGTTTTTATAAAGAATATTCTAAATTATCTTTTATTATCACCTTGTCTTCTGCAGCAAAAAAAGTAAACACAAGTTAAATTTTAATAGTGCATGGAAATATTTTTAGACTCAGAAAAGTTGCTGAAATAGTTGAGAGAGTTCCCATAATCCTTCAGCTTGATCTCTTATATGTTAAAACATTTGACAGTCTTTGTTTTATTCTCTGTGTGTACATGTCATAGTTCAAAATTTTCCAGCTAATGTACAGGTTTTAACATTTCATCAGTTGTGTCTTACTAATATTCTTTTAGAATTTCCTAAGACTCAGTTTCTGAATTTTTAACATATTCTAATTAATAGTATTCAGTAGTTCAAATTCTTATATACTTATTACAGTCAAAGTTTATTGAAATGAATCTTTTATTGGGATGGTATTGGCCTATAAAAAATGACTACAGGTATCCATAGAAAATATCTCACTCTTTCCTATTGTCTTTCCCCCCCGCTTTTTGGGGTTTTTTTTTTTTGAGACTGGGTCTTGCTATATAGTTTAGGCTGGCCTTGAACTCACTTATACGTAGTATAAGCTGGCCTCAAACTTGTGGCGAACCTCCTGCCTCAGCCTCCTGAGTGCTGAGACTGCGTGCACCACCATGCCTAGTTCCATATTATTTTTGTATCCATAAACACATATGTGGGAGTAGAAGGTTGCCACAGGTTTTGGTTTGGATTTTTTGGAGCAGTGGTGATACTGATGATTTCACCAGGGCTTTTCACATGTTAGACAAGTGTTCTCTGACTGAGCCACATTTCCAGGCTTGACAGTTTTAACAGTTCTTTTAGTCTTGAGATCAACACCAAATGTGATCATAAGATTATCATCAAAAAACGTGTTGGGCCAGGGATGTAGCTCAGTGGCACTGTGCCTGCCTCTCAAGCGAAAGGTCCTGAGTTTGATCCCTGGTACCGCAAAAGCAAAAAAAAAAAAAAAA